GTGATCTGCTCGCTTGGCCTTGCCGGCGGAGACGCTGGTCCTGATTCTCCTTTTTCAGCGTCCTCTCGGGCTTTACGATTGCTTTCCAAGTTGTCAACATCAGCCGTTCGGGTAGGTTCATTCTCCTCCATCTCCTCCATCTCTTCCTCTTCTCCCTCTTCGTTATCGTCCTCATCTCGGCGTTTGCGGGCGGCTCCTAGGAAGCCAGGGGCATCTTCTTCGATGTCGTCCTCGAAGAACAGCACTCCGCAGGATAGTTTTGCCAACACCTGTTTAGTCGATTTTCTAAATCCGTGCTCTCCTGGGAGGATGGTTATATTGCCTAGCAGCAGTGTACCGTCTTTGATGCCTTTCACAATCGTATCTCCTGCATTTGATATGAGGACAGTCATAGTAGGCAAGGCCAGGAGAGACCAAAAAACGAAAAAAGCCTTTGCTGAGTTCGACACTGGGGTAAGGTCTCCATACCCAACAGTCGTCAAGGCCGTGAATGCGAAGTAGAAGCCGTCAAAGTAGGACCACCCCTGGTACGGGTATTCGCATTCTTGGAAGATCTTGGCGCCCACAAGCCAGAGGACTATCCAAGTGCTGGAAGATACGGCCATTGCGGTCCACCGTTCCCTCTTAGATGCTCTACTGCGTGTTAGTCTCTCATGGTAGCGTACAAAGGCTTACCCTAGAATATCCATGTTTTAAAGGGACGCGAATGTGTATAATTCTTTGGACTTTGGCTAGCCGCAGCGATATAAAGAGGCTAAAATAAGATTGGCCACTTACTGTAACCAATTAGTATATTCACATAATAGCGGTGTAGAGGGCCAGAACAGACTCATTATACGTACCTGACGTTGGATCTTGCGCATCAACTGAAACTCCTTTTGGCGGCGTTCGAATTCCTTCCAGCGCGCCCTGGAACCATCAAGGTCCGGAGAAGTATCTAGATCTTCTTCATCGATAGGTTCAAGGACGCCACCATGTCCTTTCCGCTTGATACGCCGAATCAACAGACGTCGCTGCCTTTCCAACATCCGCGCGTCAAGCCTATGCTTGCCTCGATCTAGGATCATACTTCGAATTGATCCAATTACGAGACCGAGGCTGATGACGCCAACTAGCGCATATGGCACGAGAAGGCCGCGACCGAGGCTTGTTTGTGGGGAGATATCACCGAAGCCCACGGTGAACAGGGTGACATCAGCCCAGTATACGGAATCGAGATAGTTCCAACCCTCGATCTCGGAGAATACCAAAGCACCTACAAGAAGGTACACGAGAAAAATGATGGTCTGAAGCATTAGTGTTCTTTGACTGGTTGTCAACTCGAAGTCCTTGCCATAATGGCCGGCCTCAGCACCCCAAACCGTGATGACCATAAGAGATGCTACTATGAAGTAGAGAATAGCGGCATAGAGCCCGTAGTAGAAGGCCTGAGACCAGACATATTCGATCTCGGGTTCCATTACAAGCGGCCCGCTTGCAGTGGCAACTAGTGCTATAAGGCAGATCGCCGATATATACCAACCGACTATTGTTATGGGCTGCGCGATGGAGAATCGTACTCGTTTGGTCATGTTCAGCAAGAGGAACACATTCGCAACTAGAGCAATTACCAGTTGAACGGCGTTCACGGCTATTAGCCACGGGGGGTCTGGAACAAAGAGAGCCTTCGTGACATCAGATCCCGGCAAGATATGCTGCCTCCAATTCTTAACCAGTGCGCATATACTAAAAGCTGAAGCCACCGGACCAAGTGTGCCAGCTATCATAGGAAATGCAGCTGATGCAAACCACCATCGACTATAGTGACAAGTCGATTAACCTGAGTGTTTCGTTGAAATATATTCGTTGGTTCACTTACCTAGGGTTGAGATGGATCTGGTCGTTCATAACACCATCATGACCGCTCTTTTCGTGATGATGGCCATCGACGGCTTGTGCTTGCACGTCGATGTTCTGATTTAAATCTGCATCGTCCATCTCGGTGACTAGATGAGTAGGTACTCATAATGGGGAGACCCGTTAAGCTATCAGGAAGGACTTTTAATCCAAGTGCCTATTAGCCAACCAACGCAAGACGTTCAAGGTCCAGGTGGCTCATCGGCAACGATTCGTAGCAGTTTCTATGTTTCATGAGAAATATAAAGATATAAAGCCTCCGAAGAATGCTCTCCATGAGTAGATATGTAAATACTTATGTATAAGTTGGTACATGGCAGACAAAGGGGGGTCAGGCGGCGTACACTGATGTGTATGTTTATGTGGGATGACGTCGCTTGGCATTGGATCGCGGAGCTAATGGCGACTGTAGGGTCCGGCCGGCAGCCGGGCTACTGGGGTCTAGCGGGAATAACCTGCTGGAATGACAGGTGATTGGCGCCTGACGTATAGCTAGGGTCGTCACTAAAGCCGCTGGACGTAGGTTGAAACCACACCATCTCGTATCGCCTTTTTTTTTTTATCGCTCGACGCGTCAATCCCGATTTTCAACTTCATCGTCAATGATCCTAGTCGCGCGTCCCTGATTGGAGTTGATGGAAAACCGCAACTTCAATCAGTCCATTCGAACGCATGCGCTCTCTTCATTTAATGATACAACTTCGATTTAATTGACAGAAATTTATGAACAAAAGGCTATCGAGGGAAGAAGATGAGAAGATGGATCCCGAGTAGACGATCAGTGTATGCAGGCCTTTGCGGCCAGAAACCAAGGCACTTTAGCGCAGTTGTCAACGATGTAGAGCGAGTAAGTGTCCGCACTGGCTCGTCAGGTACCATCACTATTGAGTAAGTCAGTCCGGGCTGTAAGATTTATGTCTGAATAGACTCGGATTTCTAACGTATGAGTAGCTTGCACGGTATTGCCAAGGTGTCGTCGCCAGACTCCTTGTTGGTTTACCTACCCCCATACTCAACAGCCTTCACGGATGGACCAGCACAGCTGCCAAGATTCATGCAGAGAAGACCGACGGCTGTGATAAACTATCGTTGGGATGGCTTTACTCCTTTTCAGACTAAAGACTTGACCGTACAGTCAGGAGAGGATGAAGTGTCTCACCTATCCTGGCCAACTCCTATCCACGATACTGCGAGGGCATATGACTGGATTGTCGAGAACCTCGGTCCGTCAGCTTATACGCGTCGAGATATCTATATCTTTGGCTCGTATCTAGGTGCATCTCTGGCGACGTCGCTAGCTTTGACGGAAACTCATCCCCACGCACGGATGGGTGTTCGAGGATGCGTCGCCTACAACGGCATCTATAATTGGACCACGTTCCTGCCGGACCATCCCATAAACAAGATGCCGAAGCTGCGCTCGATGAACATTCTGCAAGAAATCCTATCTCAACCGGATGATCCCAGATTTCAGGAGCTAAGACAGCACGCTGAAGCTCTGTTTGGACGAGCGGATAATCTTTTCGACCCCTTTGCGAGCTCCTGTCTCTTCTTTCATACTCCAGGGCTCTTCGTACCACCATCATTCGATGCGTCAGCCCTGCCACCGCCAGCACCGCTACTAGCAGTAGGAGACGAGTTCATACCGCTCGGAGATACATCCGAATCAACAGTGCCCATCAAGCCGCCAAGGAAGAGCCCGCTTGGTTTTCCACCGAGGAGTTCGACGCTCAAAATCCCCGAGACGCTACTATTACACTCCACACCACTTCCATTGCCGCCGTCGCTTCTGAGGAGACGACAAAGACGGAAGAGGGATTTTCCAGGAAACAACTTCAAAGCTCAGGCAGAAGAGCTCGCTCGGGTGATGCGTAGGAGCATTGACAAAATCGAACTAAAAGAGCGCTTTAAATGGGATGATGATTTCGATAGCTGGAACGACGAAGCTGCCAGGAGGGTCCAAGTCTACGATGTGGGATTCCACAACGGGGAATTGGGGCTCGGCGACAAAGGAGAGGAACTGGCTGCGGGTTGGTTGGAAGATCGCATAGCAGGACCTGATATCGTCAAATAAAGAGTTATGCTAGGTGCACCTTGATTTTCAGAACAGCTACAGTTTTTATCGCACTCACTTCCATACCGTACTCAATTATATAGCCTTGTAACAACAATAGGTAGATACATAAATCTTATGTGCCTTGCATCGTCTTTATAAGTAAATTCGTCCAATGTCAATATACCAAGGCTTTACTTAACACTGTTAAAGATAACCTGGCTTTGTGTGTTTATGTTCTAAACTCTTAGCCGTGGTAGATTCCATCACGGGAGGAGACTGTACTAGCGCCAGCGTTATGGGCCATTATAGTGAGTGCTCTTTCTCGTTATCAGGCAGACTTGGTAGTTTCTGCACATCGCAGAAGTCGCCGAGATCAATGAAAAAAAACAAAGGCATCGGCGCAGGTGGAACGGTCGATTATGCTCTATGAACTCCGCATAATTACACTTCGGCGACTAAATGGTAGAATATCGATGGAGCACATGGAAGAATAACTGATATGTCTTGTCGGCGTCCCATATATTCCCGAAGAATGATAGGGGCAGAGGTCGGGGCGCGCGAGCATATTTCACATTAGGCTTGAAGCGCCTCTTCTGGGTCCCAATACTCGTGCTCGACGCCAAACTTCCTCTTGTCGTAGTTAAAAGTAGGTAAATAATCGTTAGTTTATCCCCTTGACTGGCGGCTTGCTACAATAGCTACATTTTGCGTACAACTACGGCCAAGCCTACAGGTCTACACGATCATAGGGCTTCCACTTTTTAGATAACCAGTAGGATGGGAGTATATCGCGTTGTGCTGCTGATTTACAGGGGATTACAGTGGACATTGGTGGGTAGGTGGGTAGTATGTGCATTCATAATAAGAGGCTCTTTGTCATTATACGCAAAATGTAGCTATTGTAGCAAGCCGCCAGTCAAGGGGATAGGATGATTTTAGCTACCGTGTGCTTGGACGATTTAGAATACTGTGTGAAATGTAAAATCAGCGGTCTGTGCCAAGGTATAAGTAGGGCTTAAAGCACAGGAACACCACATCCGATTATCGGGGCTTTGTGGTCTAGTGGTAGGATTCTCGCTTTGGGTTGAAGTTACCTTCATTTCAAACTTGCGAGAGGTCCCGGGTTCAATCCCCGGCGAAGCCCATTTTTTACGCTATGTCTACTCTTATATAACCTACATCCTAAGGACATACAATCCTCCCCCTAAAATAATGTAAATTTTTTATCCGTGCGGCGACTCCACCAGCCTTGTTAACGTACCTATTCTCTTTGAGGCTTCAATGTTTAGAATCCTAGTGATGATCAGTACTCGCACTAACAATAAGCTAACATTATTTCAGGGGGTGTACACCTTACAAATAGTCAGCCACACGGATACCTATCATATTAAATTCTTCCATTAGGTAGTCAATAAGAACCAACTGCACTTAAGTTTACTATTCTCGCTTTGTACGTGTTAGCAGACTGTAATTGTATCGCAAATGCTGGTTGCTAGCTGTTACCTAGCTGCCTAGCCTCTCCAGTCTCAACATACGATTCATATGTATATTTACTCTGCATTGACATTGCATGCCCTGACACATTTAACAACCACCAGTTGCGTGGACTTAGAATGCGAGGCTGTTATCCAGAACACCAACATTTCACATACCCTAAGTCCTTGCTGTAAATATTTACTCGACTAGCTCCCGCAGGGGATTCTCTTTCGTTGAACCTCTTTATTCATTGTAAGTTCCGATAAGGCTATAATAATACACACAAACCCAAACCTATGGTACTCTTTCCATGCATTATATTGTATCGTCGAAGACCATGATCCGTACCTACCTACCTCTACCCAACCATACCTGGTATGTATGTATGGTGCGCGTCCCTATCTCTATATATCTATATGACAGTAAGAGAATTCCTCATGTAAGTACCTCACCTATCATACACACAACACATCCTACGACCCCCATCTCCACCAACTCTTCTTCTTCTTCTCAGTGTACCCCTCCTCCTGGACATTATGCTTGCCCACAATCGTCAAGAACACCTGGTCGAGCGTGGTAGGCGTGCAAGAGAAGTGCTCGATGCCAAGCTCGTCCTTGTGCTCCTCGAGGATAACGATGAGCCGGCCGACCGCGCTCCCACCGCCGCCGCTTTCCGACGCCACGGCGCTCGCCGGCACCGAGAAGCGCATCTGCCCGTGGTACGTCTTCTGCTCGACGTCGGCGCCGGGCCACGTGTCCAGGACCCACGCGCGCACGCGCTCCGTCTCCTCGGGCGTGGAGTGCGGCGCCGACTTGCTGACGAGGTGCACGTGCAGCGCGTCCCCGAAGCGCTGGCGAAGGTTCTCCGTCGTGCCCATGGCTAGCATGCGCTTAGCGAGGATACCGGCGCGGTTCGCGAGAGCGTCGGCTTCCTCCATGGAATGCGTCGTGAGAAGGATCGACCTTCCGGGCACGATGGAATGCAGCGTGCGCCACATGATTCGCTTAGCCGCTGCGTCGAGACCCGACGAGGGTTCGTCGAGGAGGACCACGCTGGGATTGCCCATCAATGCGATGCCCAGGGACAGTTTTCTCTTGTTTCCGCCAGAGAGCGCGTGTGCCATGCGCGTCGAGAAAGCCTCAAGTCCTACAGCACGGATAACAGCTTGCACGTTGTGTTCGATATCCGGGATACCTCGAATGCGCGCGTAGAACCGGAGGTGCTCAAGAACTGTCATCGAATCAATGGCGTCGAATTGGGGACACACGCCTAGGTGGGCTCGAGCTTCGGCGCGACGACGACTGACAGATGTGTTCTCGACGAGGACATCACCTCCATTGCGGCTCGGCTGGATATCACCGCGGATCAACGAGATAGTCGTGGACTTGCCAGCGCCGTTGGGACCTAGTAGGGCAAATACCTCGCTGTGCTGAACGCCGAATGTGACATTATCAACAGCTGTATTTTTGCCGAAGTTCTTGGTTAAGTGCAGCACTCGAAGACCGTCACTCTCTTGCGGAGTGCTAGTCACGCGGATGAGTTCATTGGCTACCTCTTCGTCTGAACCGGCCGGATCTTGGGAAGCCGGGACAGGCTTTTGCGTGAGGCGGTTGATAAGAGTGCGTCCAGACCCGCTGTCGTGCCATAATAGGAAGCCGAACAAGAGGGCCGACTGTATAACCAAGTATAGAATTGGTCCACCGTAGGCAGTCAGAGCGCCAGGGTTGGCCTGGACTTGATCTCCGTCGCAGGTCACCGAGAACAGGTTGAGAGTAATGAACATTGTTCGAACAACAGAGCCAATAGGTAAGACTGCCGAGATGACGAAATGGGCGACAAGGATAGATTGGTCGATGAGGTTGACAGGCGCGTAGGTGATGACGCACAAGTATGCAATCAGGTAGATCAGAAAGCCGACGGCTTGACCAGCTGCTGAGAAAGCATACGTCGAGAGCTGATTATTACAGAATAGGGAAATGACATATGAGAACAAGATAGACGCTAGACCGTACAGGATGAAGATGAGGAAGAGATAAGAGACATTATACCAGACATCTGATGATGCGGCAAATGCGGCGGTCACGATTGCAGAGGAGACGAGGACGATTGCGAAGTCAAACGCCGTATAGGCCACCCAGAGCGGAAGAGAACGCACACCGTTCGAATACTGTAATCCGCGGACGTTCCGCCGCCTCTCAATGTTTGGATAGAGGCCGAAGAAAGCAGGATAAACAGATAATGCTAAACAGAAGTAGACAAGTAGCTGCAGCGAATCTCCAGTCGAAGGCGCCCAGGGGGTATCAAAGGGTGCATAGTTCGTAGCGATACTCGTGTTCGTTAGCATGATGTCTAGGGCGTTCTGGCCGAAGATGGAGGTGTAGACGTCTCCAGCATCCGCTTCATATGTGATAGTAGGCGGCGAGGTAGCATCTCCGAGCCACCATCCGGCGGGTTTGATGTCCTTTCGTCTCTGCTCGACGAAGTTGTTGAAATCGGACAGAGAGTCAACGAAATGCAAGCTCTCAAAGAACGAGGTCGCAACACTCGAACCACCTCCGGTCCCATTGCTGGATCCAGACTGGCCTTGATCCTGGCCCGGGCCTTGCAAGACAGGGAGAAAGAGTCTCTGCAAAGTGGCGTTACTGAATTGTGAAGATGGGCCAGCGACCAAGAATAAGTCATTGTAGAGATCTGAGGAGCCTGATGAATCGGCCAAGCCTTGATCGGTTGGACCACACCCAACTGGATGCTGATTAGTGACGTATAGAGATGTCAAAGCCGCTGCTATGATCGGGATGAGGAACGCTGCCACGTAAGGGAACCAGTTCGTTTTGAAAATGGTGCATCGCTTCATGAAAAGCACCACGATCTGTCTCATGAACCCAATTGGTTGCCCCGAAAGTAATTCTAACTTGTCCTTCTCGAGCTCGCTAGCCGCGAGACCCTCGTCGGAGACCACTTGCTTGTCATTGCTGACTTCGGCGGAAGACGAAGTCTGTGCTGACCTCATGGTACTTTCGCCTTTGACTTCCTCAGCTACCTGTAGGAAAACATCTTCGATGGTCGGGTTGGAAAACTTGTAGTCACTAATCCCAGCAGACTCTAGGGAGCGAATAACTTCCGCTGCAAGACGGGAGGACGGCGCGATGTAGCTAATCACGTCAAAGCCAATCTTGCGGGCAACATTAGGGACATCTGGAGGATCCTTGATATATCTGGCGTTGAAAACATGGACTCGATATCCGGCACCGAGTCTGTCCTTGAGTTCGACGGAAGATCCTTCAGCTCGCAACGTTCCTTTGGAAAGAATAGCAATATGGTCCGCGAGGAGATCGGCTTCATCTAGGAAGTGAGTTGTGAGGATGATCGTTCGTTTCCCACGTTCAGACAGAAGGATATCCCAGATCTTACGTCGGGAGAGAGGATCGATTCCAGAAGATACCTCGTCAACACAGCAAACAGCACTGCCGCCAGTTAACATCATCCCAAGCTGGAGCTTTCGTTTTTGACCGCCTGACAGAGTCTTGGACATGGCCTTGACTTTTGGCCCAAGGTCTACAGCCACGACTAAGTCGCGAATCTCCTGTGCGGATGCGGTATTCTCTGGGGCCTTTAGTCGGTTGAAGATCTTGATGTGTTCTTCCACGGTTAATTCGTCCCATAGAACGTTCTTCTGCGGCGCAATGCCTAAACCGCCTGTGCCATCGATTGTGATATCGCCACTAGTCATTTTGCTGATACCGGCGATCGAGTCGAGTGTTGTACTCTTTCCACTACCATTGGCACCAAGTAAAGCTAGAATCTGTCCTCTTCTCGCGGTGAGTGTCAGTTTATCAACAGCCACTACCGGTTCCTTCGGCGTCGAACTGAAGGGGAGAAATCGCGTTAAAGGATTAGGGTAATAGATCTTGGTAAAGTTCTCAAGTCGAACAGCAGCATCCGGTGCTGTCTCCGCGGTTTGGCCTTGAAGAATTGTACGGCCCTTGATGGTTGTGCCGTGGAATACACGTTCGAGGTAAGCGCCAATGACGGGATAGATAAAAATCTGAAGGATGAGAAACACCCAGAAAACAATGCCGGGTAAGTTCCATGGATTCTCGGGCGGGTTTTTCACTAGGTCTGCTGGAAAGGACTGTCTTTCATATCTTGCTATGAAGGTCATAAACCAAACAAAGTTACAAGGTGTCTATAATAATTATGAGTTAATAACCAATCTATTCGGAGAAGAGGTAGGGGGGCTAAGAGAGAGGATATGCGAGTTTACAAGCAGCTCGGTCAGGTAGTTCTGAGTCTTGATATAGTCTTGGGGGAAACCAGCAAGTTTGAGAAATACCTACGAAGAGTAAACTAAGAATTGTGACAGTAGCAGTACTGGGCGACGTTAAAGTCTGGGCTAGGATTGCTAGCAGAATATATGCTATCGTCGTCACAACACCTGAAAGTTGTGATTTCTTGAAGAATGCGGCACCTAAAATAGAGAGCGATGTCAAAGCGAGGCCGCTAAGGATGAAATAGATCAGTACGATGGCGACACTTGTGTTCGCCCAGACTCCGCGCCCAATGATAATCGAACCAACGACCCAACCTGGAAGGTAAATCATAGTGAACGCAATATGGTACGAGAGTAGTCTTGCAACTTGGGCTTGCCAACGGTACTTCGTAGGCAT